CTTAATAGCCAGCATTATAAGGATACGAAAGAAGTATAAGGCATGGCTCATGCCCACTGGAAGTTTCTAATAGAGAGGAAAACGCCACATATACAAACAAAATATAAGAAATTATAGGAGACTGATACTCATAAAACAATTAAATACAATGGACAAGTAAAAGCAAACAAACAATGAAGTACTTAACCGAATGCTACTGATTATACATGATAGAAGGTGAAGGACAGTAAAGGTCAGGAGCCGAGAAAGACAGTCCCTGTTCTAAAGAACTTAACCTTCAACAAACCCACACAAAAATGAACTTTATGATATTTATTTGAAAAAAAAACCTACCCTGTTTCTTCAATGTTAGGATGTCATCTTTTCCCATTTTAAAACAATGGATGCCATAGTCATCTTGCACTGACTTGTACCAGGCGCTGCTGTAAGTGCTTTGTACGTGTGGATTTGTTTAGTGTGGATTGTTCAATGGGTGGAAATATCTCACCATCTCCCCTCTGGGAAGGTGCTATGGAACCATTGGTACCGACGGGAACCCGATGGCTGTTTAGGATTCAGGAAGCATGGTGTGTGCAGAAGGAAATAGTGCTCAGAGACGAGACTTCATAAAAATGACATTGCCCACGTTCCCTATCTCCTCAGCCTCGACTGCTGGCCCTTGGCATCCTGGTTTGTGAGGATCACCCGTAGCCCCGGCACCCTTGGGCCTCCTGTCGCTTGACCGTTCAGAGGCCACAGCGCCTTCAAAATAGCAAAGTTTCCATGCTGAGGGCGTGAGGTGACCCATTCAACGTTTACCCTCATCCAGCATCAGTTTTCACAGCCCTGCAGTGGTTTTCACCTTGGCCAGGAAGGTGCTCCTGATTTATTTACGAACGCTCTCAACTACCAGCGTAAAGTCGAAATACATGACTATGTTGGGTTGGGCTTCTTGGAAACAGGCTCTGAGATGGAGACTGGGGACAGATTATTGGAGGTGGCTCTAGGACCACCACCTGTGGGGATCCAGGGGGCAGGCTGGGCAGAGGTGGTCTGCAATGCAGTTGCAGCAGGGACTCGGCTGATCCCAGGGGGCGCTCTGGAGCTAAGATGCCCTTTAGAGGTGTCCTGTACTGAGACCAGGGGTGCTTGCCATTGCACCCTGGCACTCATAGGATATGAATAGTGCCCAGGGAGGGGCTGTAACCTTAGAGGAGACGATGACTTTGAGGGCAATTCCTGGGGGATGATTCAATGTCAAGCTGTTGGCAGGCAACATCCCCAGCAGTTGAGGGACTAAGAGCTTGGGCCCATTACTTCTGAAGCAGTGTCTAGTCATCCCTGAAACATCTGGGTAAGTATTTCCTTTTTCCCAGAGCATGGTCACCCTCGTAAATGACATCATTTGCTTCCTTTGGGAAAGGCTTGGATGTAGATTGGTAGTATATGTTTATGGTGACGCTGCAAGGTTTTTCCTCAGGGGGACCACCTGTCTTATTTTTTTGAATAAATATACTTTTATTGATTTCAGAAAGGAAGGGAGGGGGAAAGAGAGACAAACATCAATGATGAGAGAGAATCATTGATCGGTTGCCTCCTGCACGCTCCCCACTGGGGATTGAGCCCGCAACCCGGCCATGTACCCTGGCCAGGAATTGAGCCGTGACCTCCTGATTCATGGTCGGCGCTCAACCACTGAGCCACACTGGCTGGGCCCAACCTGTCTTTTAATAAAGGGGCTGTGTCAGTGAACTGGCGTGGTATGGAAACTGAGTGAGAAGAATGACTTTTCACTTTGATGGCCCCAGTCAGGTTTCAGGCAGCAGAACTACAGTTTTAAAGATGAAGGGATATTTCAGAAGTCTGCCCAGGGCCACTTAGGACAGTACCGAATATCCCTGCAGGTCAAGACCTTTGAGTACTACTTTGTGCTGCCCATCGTAAAAGTGTTCCCCTTGCCCCTGCCAGTTAAATGCTGCCCCTTGGTCATTGCCATCCCAGGACCCAATTATCATGGAAATCAGGGAGCCATCTCTATGAAAGCATCTCCCCCACCATATCTGGCCACTACCGAGCTTTACTGTTGCCCCCCTTACTAATGCATGTATTTTCCAGTGCCCGAGTGTAGAGACCATCATCTGGGCCTTTAGGGGTATGGAGATTGGGGCTGGGTATATGGATTGCATGGGTCTGCATGCTAACATAACCCCACAGTCCCCTCTCCAGAGCATTTCGGGTTTCTTTCTCTACATCATACCAGGGACATTCTGTCATCTCATTGAATATAGACAACCACCGAGTCAGAGTTTCATTTAACCAAGTAAGAAAGCCTCTGGAGTCACTTTCAGTGTTTGAGCTAACATGTTAAACCCAGACTTCCTGGTAAATGCACCCACATCAATGCATTTAGCCTAATCCTGTGCCCTTGGTTTTATCTGGAACTTGACCAAGAGCCTTTCCGCCTTTCGCAGGTTACCTTTCCGCCTTTCGCAGGTCATGTCACCTTGGACACCGATGGTGATATTTGAGGAGCTAATACAGCACCTCGATCTTGGTCTGCATTTGTAGTTCTCTCATTCACAGTGGGTCTACATGCAGGTGCAAGCATCTTACTTTTGTTTGGTCTTCTAATAGAGTTGTGCGATAGCAGTTACTTACAGAAATACACATTAATTATAAACCACTTTCCTTTATTTTTCCTTTATTATACAATTAGGACATTATATTGATTTTTTTGAAATTTGCATAGGTAGGTAACATTATTTATGAATTGCATTTCACGATAGTCAGGGGAGTATTTAAAACACTAGCTACAAAAGGGGATGATGGGCCTGACAGGGTTGAGAATGACTCCCCCGCCTTTCAGGCCGCAATCATGTCTATATAGGCACGTTCACGATGAACCAAAGTGGGTCTGGAACACGTCCACCAAATGAAATCACTTGTTATCAATCTTCTGAAAGGTGGCTATGGTTAAGTAGAGAATTCAGTGTCCTATTCAGTTTACTTACAGAGCCACGCAGGATGATATTAACAGCAGGTAAGTAAACCTATCACTCGGGCAACGGAGAACTAAGAGATGCCGCAAGAGCAGGCTGCTTTGTGCTTGGAAGGCCTTGGGGAGGCAATCTTTTGTGCATCCCCGAGGCGAGGCGAGGCGAGGCGAGGGGAGGGGAAGGCAGGAGTGTGCTTCTTCGCTCCCTGGTCGGCAGGATCCGAATCCCAATGCCTTTCGACGTGGACTCCCTGGGGACGAAGCAGGGAGAAAGAGTCCACATTAGGTTTGTGAATGAAGGTAGATGCTTGGTCTTGGCGCAGGAACTCTAGCTTTGGGTTGCTGCTCAATGCCACTGGCCTGCATGGCTCTAGGACAGCGATTCTCAACCTGTGGGTCGTGACCCCTTTGGGGGTCGAACACCCCTTTCGCAGGGGTCGCCTAAGACCATCGGGAAACACATATATAATTACATATTGTTTTTGTGATTAATCACTATGCTTTAATTATGTTCAATGTGTAACAATGAAAATACATCCTGCATATCAGATATTTACATGACGATTCATAACAGTAGCAACATTACAGTTATGAAATAGCAACGAAAATAATTTTATGGTTGGGGGTCACCACAACGTGAGGAACTGTATTAAAGGGTCGCGGCATTAGGAAGGTTGAGAACCACTGCTCTAGGGCCTTCCGGGGGGCATACAGGGCTACCTGGGAGCAGCACCCCACCCCCTGGTTACTCAACTCCTCCCAGATCTCAGCTCTCTCAGGGAAGCCTGCCCTCCCCACCTGCCTGGCCTGGTTCCTTGGCCACAGATTCCTTCAGAGCGTTTCTCACTGTGGTTTCTGGATGTCAGTGTGGGATGGCTGTCATGAGCGGGGACTATGTGGGTTATGTGGGCCACCTCCTGTGACTGGCTCTCCTGTCTGCTTATGCTCCCCCCGTCACCCCAGTACCTGGTGCGAGGTAGGCATGGAGGAGACAGTTGGTGAAAATAAATGTTTGCTCCAAATCCCAGCAGCACCGACACCTTCCATGACTGTGAATGTACCACTGCATTTGTAGCCCGTGCGTTTGACAGCTGAGCCTTCTTCTGCCGGTTGAAGAGCGTGGGGACTGGATTTTGCACAAATGGGCGAGTTGGGACAGGTAGAAACCCGCAAAAGCTCATCCATGCGGCCATTCAGGCCCCCTTTCTTCCGCAGTGACCCGGGGCCACCCCCACCTTCCCTCAAACAAACCCAGAGGGAACTGGCGCTGGAGGGCGTGCGTCCTGCGGGGAGGCAGAGGGAGGACGAGGTGGACGGGCCGAGCCTGGTCCCCTGTTCCTCACGGGGCCTGGCAGGCACCTGCTAAGGAATGACAGTGCCCAGGGCCTCCCCGCGGGCAACAAAGAGCATCAAAGAGCATCGGAACCACGGCTCTGACCCGGGGGTGGGGGGTGGGGGGTGTGGGGGGTGGGGTGGGGGGGTGCCCCCGCAGAGCGCGGGGCCGCTCGGCTTCAGATCAGGGGGAGATGCTGGGGGGAGGCTGGGGGAAAGGCTGGGGGGAGAGGCTAGGGGGAGAGGCTGGGGGAGAGGCTAGGGGGAGAGGCTGGGGGAGAGGCTAGAGGGAGAGGCTGGGGGAGAGGCTGGGGGAGAGGCTGGGGGAGAGGCTAGGGGGAGAGGCTGGGGGAGACGCTGGGGGAGAGGCTGGGGGAGAGGGCGGCTGGGGGGAGACGCTGGGGGAGAGGCTGGGGGAGAGGGAGGCTAGGGCCGCATCTCCAGGTAAAGCAGGCGGCGCGCGAACGGCAGCCTCCCTCGCCCCCTCGGGACGGGATCCCGGGCAGATGAGGAGCAGCCCCGGGGCGCCTCTCCCGGCTCCGGGGCCGGGCGGGCGCGGAGAGCAGGTGCGGGGCGCAGCGGGCGCGGTGCGGGCCGGGGCGCGGGTGCGAGGCGCGGCGCGGGCGGCAGGAGGCAGCGTCGGCCCGGCGGCGGCGGGAGGCCGCGGTGATGTCAGTGGCGGCCGGGCCGGCGGCGGCCGGTACTTCCTGTGCGAAGGCGGGCGGGCGGACTCGGCCGCGGCCCCATCGCCAGTGTCGGCCTCTCGGCGGCGGGGCGGCGGCGGAGGAGGAGCCGGGGAGGCTGTCAAATTCGGGACCGGGTTGTGCCCGGCCCCCGGCGATCCCTTCCGCTTCCCCGGCCCCGGCGCGCCATCCGCGGGCCGGGACCTGCGCGCGGAGGGAAGATGGCAGTGCTCAAACTCAGCGACCAGGTAGGGCCGGCGCCGGGCGGGCGGGCGGGAGGGGCGCGGGGCGGAGGCTGTTTACTCCGCGAGGGGCGGGCGTGCGGCTCCGGCTCCGGCTCGGGCTCCGGCTCGGTCCCCCGCGCGGCGCTGCCCGGGCCGTCGGAACTGCGCCTGGGCTCGGGGAGGGCTGGGCGCCGGCGCACCGGGGGCCGGAGGGCTGGGCGCGCGGCTGTGCGGTCCCCGGACCCGCTGCGCAGGGGGATGGGAGGCTCGTCGCCTGCTGCGCAGCCAGGGCCCCGCCGGCCGGTGCGCCGAGGGCTGGCCGGTCCGCGCCGCTGGGAGGGGGGCGCTGGATGGAGCGGGAGAAGCGTCGCAGCCCGGGACCCTGCCCCGAGCGCAGCCCCGGCCGGCCCACGCCGCGCGCTCGGTGTCAGCTGTCGCCAGCCGTTTGACATGACAGCCTGACTTCCTCTTTAGCTGCCCGGGGCTGTGTGCGCGGCGCGCGATGGGGACCCTGGACGCGGCCCTCTGGGCTCGGACCCATCCCTCCGAGGGGCAGTGGAGTCCAGGTGGGCCCCGCGCACAGCGGGGGGGGGGGGGTGCTGCCCCGGCCTGTGCCCATCAGCCTCGTTGCTGGCCTGGCTGAGCCGCAGGCAGCGCGGAGCCTGGCGTGCGGAGGGGGGCTGTGTGCTGACTCGTGGGCAGCCCTCGCTGTGGGTCCGCCCGTGGGGTGGAAGCGCCTCGCCTCCGCGGGCCCTGTTGCTCTCAGCGCGTGGACACTCACGGGCGCCCAACCAGAGTTGCAGGACCCAACTCCTTGCAGCTCCTTCCACGGAAAAAAGAAACAGCTCGCTTCCCCCGCCCTTGCTGTCTATTCGTGGGTGGTGCAGGGACATGGGTTTTGGGGCCTGGCAGCCCTGACGCCCGGCGGAGCATTCCCCGCGCTCGGCTTTAAACAGCTCCTACCTCCCCAGTGGGCTGCACCTGGTGCCTCCTCCCCAGCCGGTGTCCCGCCCGAAGAACGTCCTGGACTTAAATGCAATGTCACTGCAATGATGTGCTCTCCTGCCCCCCTTTTAGAGTCAAAGCTTCGGTTTGCTTCCCCTAAGTATTCACCGCCCCCCCCCCCCCCTTTGCAGGGAAGAGACCACTGAATTAAAATGCACGTTAAATTTAGCAGGAGGAGCAGCTGGTAATTGTGATGAACCGACTTGTCCCCGCGGGTCCTGAGCATTTAAAAGTGTGTGTAAGCTGATAGTAGGATTTCCCCCACCTTTTGGTCACAGACTTGGACAACTGTTCGACATTTGCTTGTTTTAAATCTTCCAGTTGTAGTCTGACATGGCCTTGTCATCTTTGCCACTACATGCTGCTGCTCACTGTACTTGTCTGTTATTCCTAAGTCTTTAAAGTACAAAAAATACTTCTAAGACTCATTGTTATTATCACATTCACAAAATTTCACATAGAATTTTAGAGTAGTTGTAAGGGACCCCAAGGACCGTCTTTGTCTGGCCGGCGTGGCTGAGCGGTTGAGGGTGGACCTAGGAACCAAGAGGTGGCTGGTTCGATTTCTGGTCAGGGCACATGCCAGGGTTGCTGGCTCCATTCCCAGTAGGGGGTGTGCAGGAGGCAGCCGATCAATGATTCTCTCATTAATGATGTTTCTCTCTCTTTCTCTCTCTCTCTCTGAAATCAGTAAAAATATGTTTTAAAAAAAGAGAGAGCATCTTAGCCCAAATCCTTCATTTTTATTTTTATTTTTTTGATCCTTTTTTTTTTTAAGCCTTCATTTTTAAAATGAAGAAACAGATCTGGAGAAGGGAAGTACATCTGTCTCTCGCCTTCCAGGCTCTTGGCTTTCTGCGCAGGTTAAGACACCCCTGTCTTGCCATTGGATGTGTCGAAAGGGTTACCAGAAGGCCGCATCTTCTAAATCGGTATCAACACTAGTGAAAAGCATGTGACTTGGTCTTACAAGAAAGAAAGTGACTTGTTCTTCAGGACTTATCAGACTAGGACATTCCAAAATGTTTCTCTTTTAAAGTGTTTCTGAATACATACCTCCCTTCCCCCAACAAAGTGGGATTACTATGGAGAGAAAGAGCTGACCAGCCTTCATGTGGTTCCATTGATGTCTGATGTGGAAAAGGACCAGGGGTTCTACGACTTGAGGGCACCTATAACTTGCCAGCCGATTTCTGAGCAAAGCCAGAGGAAGGCTGGCCGAGAGGGGTTTGGGGTGGGTGGAGTGGGGTGGGGTGGGGTGGGTGGTGGGCAGCCGTGGTTTCCGCATGGCTTTGGGTCCAGGAAGTGTGTGACCTTCCTTGCCTTATATAGTCTTACCTTTCAGTTTGAAACTCGAGGTTCTTAGAAGCGGGTTGCTAACCTCACCAGAGGCAGAAATACCCTTGGTTTAAACGCCTCCCGCGTGAGCTGGGCTCCACCATTGTGGGTGGGGAGCCAGCTTGGAGTCCCTGCTCGACAGTTTGTAGAAGAGTGAGTCCCTCGCTCTCCATCCAGCGATGTGTAACACAGACTTTTCTTGACTCCTCCCTCATCTGTTTAATGCCGTGTGTGTGTGTGTGTGTGTGTGTGTGTGTGTGTGTGTGTGGTGAATCTTGACTTTTGCCAAGCCTCTTGGATTTTGAGCTTGAGGACACATTCTTGCACTGGATGACCCAGATCACAAGTGGTCTGGGTTTGTTTTGAACGGGCCTGAGGTGGGAGGGATAGAGGTTGACATTTCCTGTCCGGCCCAAGCAGGTCCGGAGCTCTCTGGGCTGTGCGGTCACACTTCAGCAGTCAGTCCTGCACCCCATCCAGGGGTACCCCGGGAGGAGGACTCCCTTCCTAGCTCTGTTTTGGAAGAGTGAGAAGAAAGGGGGGAGGGGGTGGCAAGTGTGGTTTTCAGTTTTTGGTGTTTTCTTTTTTTTACTACGAGAAGGAACTGGAAGCTGTTGCTACAAACAAACTTGGCATTTGGCAGTTCTGCATTTGTCACTGTGTCTGCTCTGCTTTCCTCTGCACATAACACACATCATGTTCCAGCGACAGCGGGACCCCTATCCTGTCTGCAGGGACTGTGGGTTTTTGTAGGACGTGGGACTCCTGGGGCTAAAGCAAGCCGGGGGGAAGGGGGGTGGTCCCGTAAGGAGCATGGAGCACACACACCCCTGTAATGAATACAGCCATGTCATTATTTTCTCCAAATGGACATCAGGCGGTTTATTTATATCTTTGATTTAAAAAACGAGGTAATTTTAAGTTTGGGGAAGAAAATTCTGTTAACTTATGAATGTAATGCATTTTGGCTCAAGAGAGCCGTGAAACTCTGCAATTTGATTTGCTGTTGAACTTTTGGGGGCTGCCCTTTATGTCACATAGTTAAGGCACTGCAGTGATTTAAACACACACACATATAGAGGAAGGGAGAGGGAGAGAGAGAGAGAGAGAGAGAGAGAGAGAGAGAAACATCAGTGATGAGAGAGAATCATGGATGGGCTGCCTCCTGCACATCCCACACTGGGGATCGAGCCACAGCCCGGGCCTGTGCCCTGAAAGGGAATCGAATCATGACCTCCTGGTTCCTAGGTCGAGGCTCAACCATGGAGCCACGCTGCCCGGGCAGCACTGCAGTGACTTTAAGCGTGAGGCCATCTCTTCAGCTTGGGCCCCTAAAACTTTCAAAGTTTTGAAGTCAGATGGGAAGTTCGTCGGGCCTCTGAAATGTGCACCTGGGAAATGTTTATGACTGTTCCTACCTGAACTTGCTAGCGGCAGCGGAGTGCCACCTCCACGTGAGGGCTGCCTGCAGACAAGCCGTTTCAGCAGGTGGCCCTGCTTGGCGCTCCTGCCTGGAGGCTTCTGGCTTGCTGTCTCCTGGCCAAATCCGGGCTCACACTTGAGTTACTCATCTCCTTGTCAAAGGCAGTGGCTGGCAGCCCTGGCGGTGGCAGGAATTGAGAATCCCTGCAACTTGGAAGGCAGGGTTTCTGGCCCCTAGTGTGGGGCCCTGGGCCTGTTGGCCACCTCCTTGGGCTGCCCCATCCCCCCTCGTTCCCTGGAGCACCGGGCTCACAGCAGACACTGTGCTCCAGGCCTGCCTTCAGCGGAGAAGAGGGGAGAGAAAGGCTTTATTCTCTGACTTTCACTAGTTGTTTGGGGACCCAGTCACATGGTTTGGGGAGTGCACTTGAGGACTGGTGTTTCGTGGCCGAGACCTAATAATGGCTTACATTGATCTTGATCTTACTGTACGTCGGGCCCTTGCTGTGAATCATCCCTCTTAATACCCACAGCCACTGTAGTGTGATTCCTGTTTTACAGACGAGAAAACAGGACCAGAGAGGCTAATTGACGTGTCCAAGGGCACACACCCAGGGGAGAGCCAGCGAGGTGTCCACCTATCCTGGCAGCCTTGATGGCAGAGGTGGGGCTCTAACCACAAGGCTGTAGTTTTAACAGTTGACAGGGCAGTGCAGCCACTGGACCCACGGGTGTCTGTCTCACTCCCGGGAGCCACAGGGTGAGCTGCACCCTGCCCTCCTCGGAGACCTGGGCCGGCCCCAGGCTTGGAAGGTCAGGAGCTGCTCTGAGCTTCTCCTCCTACCTGACCTGGGCCTGGCTTACCTGGTAGCCTCCTCCCCCCACCACCGCCCCTGGGGAGTGAGGTATTGGTGGGTAACTTGGTGATTTTTTTTCCCTTGGTGATTAGCATATAAACTAAATCATTATACAAAATCAGAAAGCTAGACAAACAGTTCAAACCCTCTGAAGTCTCTATACTCAGGCAGAACCCCTCTTGACATCCTGATATATTTCCTTCTAGTCTCCAGTGTAGGGTGCCAGGTACAACTCTCCCTTTCTGCATGACAGTATCAGTATTTTTCTCTTGAGCACAGAGCCGGTATCTGTGCTGTCTAGACCAGTGACTTTTCCAAATAAACGGAATTTATGCTTCTCTGAAATAAACAGTTGGCTGCAGCAGCACACAAGGTCTAGCCCTGAACTGATTGAAACTTAAA